ATTCTAGGCTCCATCTGCTACAGTCTGTCCTGCTGGAATGTGATGTGATTTGTGTCATTCAGGTGAGATGGAGTGCGTTTAATCCAATAGGATATCAGAATGGTTTATATTTACTTTTCTCATCCAACCACAATCAAATTCATTTTATCCAAGGGCTCCATGTATCTGGATAGATTTCTATTTATTAATTTTTTTCTTAACAATGAAAAGATGGAATAAAAACAAGTCAAAGTTAAATAGATATGAAATACTTTTTGTATTTTTAAAAAGTAAGGACTAGAAAGTACAGATAAGTGAATTAAAGGAGTAGAAGTAAAAAGTAGGCTGAAAATTAACTCCTCCACTAAAGAATATATAACCAAAATTTTTACTTAAGTAAAGTAACAAAGTATTTGTACTTAGTTACTTGACACCACTGGAATAAATGTAAAACAATATAGTTATTAAAGTCATTGAATTCAAAAGAGAAACAAAAATAAAATAAGGGTCCCACATATTGTGACAAGCAAAGTCATTCCAAACTCTTAAGTGTGGAAAAGTTCACACAAAAAAAGAGTCAAAGTTCAAGTTAATTTGCATTCCTGACAGCAGCAGCTGTGGGTTTTCTGGCCCACTTCTCGAAACATCTGTTGACTCAGTGTTTGACATTTCAAAGACAAGAACTGATTTTTGACAAACCTTCTAACTTCTACTTTCAAATCCTCCCCATCCTTRTCGGTGAAGCAGCCAATCACATCGCTTCCCTCCAGATGGTGGGGTGACGTCTCAGTTGAAGCACACGGCCAGCATCTGTTGCACGAGCGCCTTTTGTTGTCACTGACCACGTCACAGAGACACCGAGTGTGGGAAACTCAGAGAAACTTCCTGTTCACAACAACTCAAAAAGAGCRCGCACCTGTTCCTCCTGAAAGGAAACAATTGAAATTAGATATCGATGAATCAAAGTAACATTTAATAATAAAGTTTTTACATGTAATAGGAGAGTGTGCTTTAGAAATGAACTGCACACTCATCTTTTTACTCTTTACATTAAGACAGAACAATGGGCCTTTAATTGCTGCACAGTAAAAATTACATATAATTTCGAATAATTAAAGGCTTACCTCATTTTAGTTATAACTCGTTATGTTAAGAGCTAGATCTATGAAAAGGAAACATATTTTTAAGAAAGAAAATAACAAACAATCAGTTTTAATAGGCTGATAAGGAGGGTGGTGATTACTTCAGACTAGTAATTCTCACAGTTCACAGTGGAAAAAAAGCTCAGTGACACTCTTTCCACTCCCAACCCCCCAGCCTCCACCTGCTCCCCTGAGACCAAACTATTATCCCTGACGTGAGCAGTGGGCATGTGGCAGGCCAGACTTCCATTCTCTCTGCGCTGCGATCTGATTGGTTCAAACTGTGGGAAACTTCAGCCAAACCAAGACCCACACATTCATATGGAGATGTGTGAGTATAAATAGGAGGGATGGAGGCTGCAGAGATCAGATTCTCTCATGGCTCCTACGATCACGGCAGGACCGGGCCTCTCTGACGAGCTTCTGACTCTGAACCACAAGGTAAATATTGATCCATGACAGTTCAGTTATCATCTATGAGAGATTGTAGATGAAACTAGCATCAGACTTTAAAACAAGTTAATAATGGTTGTGTTGTTCCTGCAGCTCAGGAAGCCTCTGGTGGAGAAGTTCCGCAGAGAGAGGATCAACAGCAGCATCGAGCAGCTCAAGTCTCTCCTGGGTCCAGAGTTCCTCAAACAGCAGCCAGACTCCAAGCTGGAGAAAGCAGACATCCTGGAGATGACAGTCTGCTTCCTGACTCATCTGCAGCAGCAGCAGCAGCATCCAGCTGTGGACTCAGCAGCTGTCCATCGGGGCTACTCCACATGTGTCCAGCAGGTGGTGCACTTCCTGTCCAAAGACCAGCTGCAGACACAGTCCCAGAGGAGACTGCTGGACCACTTCAACAAGCTGCAGTCTGAGAAGAAGCTGAGAGAGGCTGACTTCTGTCCTCTGAGCTCCACAGGCCAGAGCAGCATCAGGAAAGAGCAGAGTCCGGTCTGCAGCGCCCTCTGGAGGCCGTGGTAGGAACTGAAGGACTGGAAGGAAACCAAACTGATGAGACCATGTTGGTCTGTCTTTACTTTACTGGACTGAACGATTTGAAATTCTATTGAATTTTTTTTCTTTGACTTTATTTTGTGATTATTTCACATCATAATATTTCCTGAGGAAATGAAAACGAAAATATTTTTCAAGTTAAGAAAAGCGTAAAAACCACAATGGTTGAAAATTAAAATAAGCAACGCTTTGAACCTTAAAGTTTTAATGTTTCTCTTTCTTTTTCTCCTATTAAAAAAAGCCACTGATGATGGAGAAGCTAAGATACTAATATTCAGATATTCAGCTCTGTTTTCTACTGAAGTGGAAAAAAACAAACAGAAAAAAAGTTTTAATGTTTAGGAAAAAGAAAAGTTATTTTAATGCATTATTTAGCATTTATCTCTTATCAGAGTGGATTTTCCTTTATTCTTAGAGGGGATATTTTATAAGTGATATGTTTGCTATGCAGACAGAAACATTTTCTTTATAAGAAAATTTACTGAATTTGATTAACTTGATTTTTTAATATGATCTGTTGTAAGATCAGGTTTAATATTATTTCTTATCTTTTATGTCATGTCTTCTATCTGATGGTTGTATAACTTTTGTTTAAAAAAGTTAATTTCTTAAAGAAATGTTGAAAATGATTGAAGTTTTGAAATTTTTGACCTGTCAAACACACTTTTTTATTCCTTTTGTTTAAAAAAGAAAAGTTTATTCTTTAAATTTCTTTAAAATTGTATTGATTATACTTCACACTTACATCAGGTAGTGATGAAATGAGCACGATCTGTTTTAAGATCTGGTTTATCTTTTTGCATAATTTATGCATGATTTAAACTGTTTTCTATGTAAAACAGATTAGACGATCAATGTTAGAAATGTTGGTTCTTCTGTGAAGACGACTGTCCCCGCTGGATTTCTCGGAGACGTTGTGATGTTTTGTCATATTTGTGTGACTCTACGGGAGTTCTTTTACTTTTGTCGGAATGTGCTTTGAATAATAATAAAGAAAAAGAAAAACCAGCTGCATTTTTGTCATTTTTCTCCCTAAAATTGTTTGTACTTCATAAATGAATGAACAATATTTTATTTATCCCAAGGGGAAATTATAGTAGGTATAATAATCATTATACCTCTGATTATGAGTAATTATGTTGACAAATTACAAAATTTATAGTTCTAGTTATATTTTCAATTGTATTTAGTCTTAAAGTAAAACGGTAAAAGTATTATATTTTTCAAAAGACAACTTTTTCTTTTATCTACAATTCTTCAACATTACCTGCTTTTTCTGTATTCTTGAAGGAAATCCTGCAGTGGATAAAAATGCAAAAAAATAAAAAAAATAGAAGCTTAAAGTAATGGTCATCATCGCATGTGCTTGGAGTAAAGTGAGCACAAAGAAAATGTTTAATATTAAAGAATATCGTGAAAATAATCAAAATTAATTAGATATATTATTAAAACTCAATCAGTTGACAGTTAAATGGTTCTGACCTCATCGAGCTTCTGTTCCAATGTCTTCCTCAACTGATCACATTCAGTTTGAATCATCTGAATAAAGCAAAAATAAAGAAAGTTYATGGAAAATTTTAAACTTCTGAAACTAAAAACTAAGACAGGAGGCTGTGATTTATGGTCGTACTTTGATTTATTGACAAATCTTTGAGTCGGYCAATCATGACGCTTCCCTCCAGATGGTCGGTGACGTCAGACTCTGACACCCAGCAGCAGCTGTCGCAAAAATAAWAACCTCTTTTCAAAGTCTGTTTTGGAATTCACTGAGTGACTTGGGGGAAACTTTTTCAACTAAACACCACAGAACAAGAACAGGCCTGCAACATCTGGTCCAACACCTGCTCCAACTGGACTCCAACAAGTGCAACATTTGTTCTTTCATCCTGTTTGTGTGACTTCATCAGATGGCAGACAGGCTGCAGGATCACAGCTTTCATAAAACTCTGTTTTTATTTACCTGAAGTCTCTGCTTGTTCCCCCGAGACACATGAAACTCTTTTATTCAGATTTATTCTACTAAAGCTGTTTTACTAAAATGTGTGTGAGCTACAAAATAGGGCTGTGTATTGGCAAGAATTTTCGTGATACGATACATATCATGACAGAGGGGTCACGATACGATATACCCCGATATATTGTGATTTTTTTTGTCCAAAAATTCTATTAAATAAAAACCTCTTACTGGGGGGAAAAAATGAAAAACCAAAATTCATTGTCTCA